GTTTTTTTTGACACTGTTGCAGGCTAGGCTTAGTTGTTTCATGATTGAAGTTTGAACAGGTACTGCAATGAGCCTGAATTTGGTTAATATAAAATTATTACCAACTTACAGCATCACTTCAACATAAAATGTGTACACAATCATCAGATAACGGCAGTCAGGCCAGCATAGATGTTATATATTTCGAATTAGTGTTTGTCGGAAAACAGAAGAAAATGTGATATCAGGAAAAGAAATTGGGTTTGGCATTACACCTCCATCTATGCTCGTTGTCTGAGTCACTTCATTTTATTCTTTTTATGAACAACCATTCAATTTTCTATTTAACTGCCACCACAGGAAAAATAGATTCAATACTGTTCTTACTACTACCAAATTAAAAGTTGCATTAAAAATAGCATCACAACCAGAAGCCAATCTCTGGGTTCTTTATTGCAATTTAAGAATGGATGAATGAACTACCTTCCAAGTGGGACCACGGAGGACCTGATAGTTTTGGCCAACCTTCTTTTGAAACTCAAGCTGCTCATATCTCTCACCTCCGTAGCCTCCTCTTTCAGCAGCTTTCTGACATTTATAGTTTCAGTTCAAAATAGGGAAAAAGATTACTACTTCATCTTATTTTCATGAACAATATATTTATATATATATATCTGGGCATAGCATAAGCACCTTAAAATTTCAGCAGTTAGCCATAAAGGCATAAAGGGCCAACAGTATACATTGTTTCTTCATTTCTTCTTTTTTTGGTCAATATTGTTTCTTTATTTCAAGAAGCTATTAACTGTGCAAAATTAATGCGTATCCCGGAAATTTCTTTTGAGGATATGTCAGACCATATAAGCTATTAAATGTGAAAAATTGGGTCTCAGAAGATATGGGTTAAGCCATCATGCTTTTCTTCCCTAATATTCACTGCAAACATTAGAATGACTACTTACTTCAGGTGGTATGTCAAGGTACACTACAAGATCTGGAGCCAATAACCCAATCTCCGGAGCCTACAAAAGTACACTTCGTTGTTTTTAAATTCCATCAGATAGAGAAGATAAACAACATTAGGGTTAAAAAGAAAAAGCATTTCATCACCTTGCACCACTCAATATCAAGCCCCTTGGCAGATGAAAAGGCCACCCCTGAATAAGAATAACGGTCAACAACAAGGGTGATTCCACTTTTCAATTTGCTTTCCATCAATGATCTGCAGAAACATTATAGATTATTTAGTACAATAATACAATGATTTGTGACAACCTCATTCTTCATCCAAGAATGGAAACCAAAACTAAGGAAACATTGTACTCTGCCCTTACTAGATGTTTCAGTTTAACTTGTAAGTTAAACATAACATGGAAACACCTCAAAATATATCTTTTCTAAAGTAGGCATTGTTGAAATACTAAGATTTTAAGTTTATTTAATTTAATAAAAATCCGAATTTCTGTGGCGCAAAAAATACTGGACGAAGACGAAGAAACAAATTCTATTTTATAGCCTATTTACTACATCCTGCAACCATACATTGGTCTCATGTTTATAGATTGTAGCCAGGGACCTGAGAAATTTAACTGCGGGATACATGAGGTTACTGACACATTTGATATAAACAAGCCTACAGAAACAAAAATATCAATCACTTGTTTCCTCACTACTGCTGAATTATATTAGGTTCTTAAACCAGACTGTTACACAAGTCAATCATTAAAAAAGAAATATCACCATACGCGTTGCCCTGACATCAGTTAAAAACTAAAACAACAATCAGAATAAGTGCAATTTCTCTTCCCTGTTATAGAAAACCTCACAAGCAGAATATATCATGTTGCAAAGAATAACACAACAAACCTCTTCTCCCAACGGTTGGCGCTAAAGAGTAGATGGATTGTATGATCATCCAGTTGTGATTTGTTGGAAAGATAAGAAGATATCATTTGCCCAACACTAGTAGTTCTGTCAGGAAACCGCCACAATTCAGCTGAATGCCCTAACTTCTCCAAGTTTGCAACTAGTCTAGTGGACTGTGTAGTCTTCCCACAACGATCCAATCCTTCAAGAACAACCAAGGCTCCTCTTGAATCCTCCTTGCCACCTCTTAGGCTACAGGTGTGATTATTATGTCCCATCTGAATCCTCCTGATAAAAAACTTGTGGGGAAAGTTTAATTGAAAGTTCAATGACCTTCGCACCACTCCTGCTCCAAAATTCCTAGAGAAACAAATGCACTCTATTACCATTTCCGAAACCTACCATGCTTTACAAATCTTTTTATTTATTTTTTCGAAAATGCAGAAGTTTGAATTTCAGGACATGAAAACCAAAAAGACACTAATTTTATGTTTTATTTCTCTTCCTTTTCCTCATTTTCTCAGCAATCCAAACTGACACAGCCAAAGTATTTCCAGGGAATAAGTAAATAAAAATGTATGAATATCAAGAGTTCAGAATTCTTACAAAGCCTTGCCAACTGTGAGATAAGAAGTATGGGTCATGTCCCTTACATCTATAAACTGGAGAAAAAGGAAAAAAAGGAATAGAATTCACCAAAAAAAACTTATCGACAGTGACGATTTTGATAATTGTAAACTTAGCTTGATATTGGTTCATCTTATTTAGTCAAAGCACCAATATTTTTCATTTTTTATAGCGAAAAAGAAAAAAAGAAAAAAAGAGGAGAAAAAGGAAAGCTTACCTTGAGCGATTTGGTTATCTTCTTCTAAAAAAAAAGTTATTTGCTATTCTCTGCGATCAGATTGTCTGAACAAATGCTAAGAAAAACCCTAAACTAGGAACTTGCTGTTCTGTGTGATTTCGCCGGGCAGTAAGTAAGCCGCCGACCGAGGAAGAACTTCCTTTTGTTTTTAAATTTTTTTATAAATAGTGTAGCCGGGCGGCTATACTGGGGCCTTTTTTGGTAAAATAAATGGTATCGCCGGGCGGCTATACTAGGGCCCCTTTTTTCATAAATAAATAGTATATCCAATCGGCTATATTGGGGTTCCTATTTAATAAATAAATAGTATCGCCGCTCGGCTATACTAGGGTCCTTTTTTTTTATAGGGTTATTCGCAGCAATGGTCCCTCAATTATACCCATATTTACAGTTTGGTCACTCAATTCAATTATTAGTTGCAGAGATCACTCAATTAGGTGTTTTGTTGCACCGTTAGTCCTACCGTCAAGTCTCTCTAACGGTAGGGACTAATAGTGCAACACAACACCTAATTGAGTGACCAAAATGTAACTCTAAGTATAATTAAGGGATCATTGCTACAAATAATCTTAATTGAAAAGTCACATTTGTCCATCAATAATCTAAGAGATGCTTGCCACATCATCATTTTAAACAGAAAAAGTAACAGACTTGACAGTAGGACTAACGATGCAACAAAACACATAATTGAGTGACCTCTGCAACTAATAATTGAATTGAGTGACCAAAGTGTAACTTAGGGTATAGTTGAGGGACCATTGCTGCGAATAACCCTTTTTTTTTATAAATAAATAATATAACCGATCGGCTATATTGGGCCCCTTTTTTATAAATAAATAGTATAGCCGGCAGGCGATACTAGGGTCCTTTTTCTTTTTTAAAAAAGCGTACAGCCGCCCGGCTATATTAGTAGTTTTCTAAAAATAAATAGTATAGCCGAGCGGCTAGTCTAGAATTTTTTTAGGAAATAGTATAGCCGGCCAGCTATACTAGGAGTTTTTAAAAAATAAATAGTATAGCCGTGCGGCTATACCAGGGTCTTTTTTTAAGTAAATTGGATAGCCGCGCGGCTATACTGGGGTACTTTTTATTTTTATTTTTATACTCTGTAAATATAGTAATATATTGGGTTTTTATTACAAATTGTCCGTGAGCTTTTACTAAAATAAAATTAAGGCTTTTTATAACAAATGGTCCTTGATGTTTACGAAATTATCACAAATGGTCCTTGAGGTTTTTTTGTGACACTAATAGTCCTTAACGTTTGGACTTTTTATCACAAATGGTCCCTGCCGTCAAAAATTCTATTAAGTGTATGATGTAGAAGATAAGTGGAGCCCACATGTCCAATCACATTGTTACATTAATAAATATTTTTTTGATGAAGATCCATTAAAAAACCATTTAGCCTCTCTCTCTCTCTCTCTCTCTCTCCTCTTCAAGTTTTTCAATCCCGAAGACCAAGTTCAAGCTTAAGTTCATCATCCTCTTCAAATAGACAAAGATCAAGAAAAGCCTGGGGTGAATTGTAGAGAAATTGAAGCAAATGAGAAGAAAATGGATCAAGAGAAAACAATCTGTGCATATAGAGAAGAGATTGAAGGCCTTAAAGGCCGTCTATCAGTTTCACAGAAGAAATTTTCTGAAGCAGAGAAGAAAGCTAATGCACCCAAAGAACTAAGAGAGAGAGATGATGTGATACTCAAACTAGAGGAGGACAATCAGAAGGTTTCAAAATCAGCTAAAATGGAAGAAGGAGCAGTTTAGACATTTAGAAGAAGCACATGACAAGCTCCGAGAACAGTTTCTTATTCTCTCGGCGACCCACATAGAGAGAGAGAGAGAGAGAGAGAGAGGCTAAATGGTTTTTTAATGGATTTTCATCCAAAAAAATATTTATTTATTTATTTAATCCACATGTCACGATGTGATTGGACATGTGGGCTCCACTTATCTTCCACATCATACACTTAACAGAATTTTTGACGGCAGGGACCATTTGTGATAAAAAGTCCAAACGTTAAGGACTATTAGTGTCACAAAAAAACCTCAAGGACCATTCGTGATAATTTCGTAAACGTCAAGGACCATTTGTGATAAAAAGCCTAAAATTAAAGAAAGTAGGCAAAATTGCTACCGCTCTTTAGTAAGAGTAGTTGATCTCATACACATTGCTTGTCAGCGATTTATAGGAAACTAGTGAAATAAACAAAAAAATTGGAAAAAGGAAAGAAGACAAAAAGGAAATTTAGAAAGAATATATATATTTTTGTAAATAAAAAAGGGAAAGAAGAATTGCCAGCAGTCTCTCTGGTCTCATGCGTTTGGCAATTTGCTCGCATCTTCTCTACAGACGAATATATCATTAATTCCTTAAAACAGAGAAACACATACACACTGCACAACAAGAGGCTTCCTCAGAGAGATTCTGCAATTTTCATCGCCGATCTCTCAACGGTCAGCTTCTTCATCTGCATCCTTCTCGATCTAGGTTTTCCATTTCTTCTTCTCCTTACACAATTCCTTTTGTTCGATTTCAAATTGAATCTTCCAGCAGACGTTTGATTTCGTACGAATTCCAAATAGGTATTCTATTTCTAATTTTCTTGAGAAATTTTACAACTTTTTCGTTATTTTTGTACTGGGAAAGTTCCCTGGATTATAGTTTCCTTATATTCAGATCCAAATTTATGTTAGACATGGGTTTCAACTCCCGTTTCAGTGACACGAATATTAGAGCAGAGTCCTGAATTTTCATGAAATCAGATTGATTTTGGGTTTCAAGCTTGCCGATTAAGCATTGGGCTATTGGGAACCACTGTATAGCTCAGAGGGTGCAAAGGGTGTGGCTCTCGTTGTTCTAAAATTGCAAACTTGGGTTTAGCTTTGATTGTTGCGAGCACTTGAGGTGTAGGTATTTCATGCTTTTGGACAAGTCTGAGTGATTTGAGAGTTTTAAGGAGCTCTGGTTGTGTGGCAAATTGGCAATAGGTTATTGTAGTAGACAATGTTCTATGGTACATTGGTATGGGACCCTTGGCTCATTGTTGTCCAAATTGTGTGCCTTCAATGTTTGTACTATCTCACTCTTGGGTTCTTCTTGTCAATTCTTGTTGGGACTCGCGTGTCCCGAATGAGCCTCGTGTATTTCTTTGACTATGCTACTCTCACTATCTCCACGGTCACTGGGTGGTGCGTCATTGCTTCGTTTATGCTCAGTGCACTTGCAGGGTGAGAATCCCATTCTACTTATCTTTTCAATTGCAGTTCAATTTGATTTTGTTGTGTTTTCCATCTGGTTGGGTGTATGCCTCTAATTGAGTTTTTATTGTAAGAACATAAACTGGGAATCCATTGTAAATTTATTTTTATTTTCTGTTTGTAAATGCAGAGCTCAATAAGCTTCTGTGAATTGTGACTTATCAAAGTAAAAAAACAGAAGAGGGTGTTTGTGAATTGTTAACACAGAATTCAAAATGCCAACTTCAAGAGTTCAGATAAATCTTTCTTTTTCTCTGGTCGAACAAGAGTTTACATAACTTGGCCATCTTATTGTTTACAGCGCTGGATATCTGCTTCTTCTGATTGAGAGGGCAAAGAAGTGCTTAGATTTTTCAGCCACCGTCTACATTGTACATCTCTTTATATGCATTTTTTATGGGGGTTGGCCTTCCTCAATAACATGGTGGGTTGTGAATGGTACTGGAATTGCAGTGATGGCTCTGCTGGGTGAATATCTCTGCATTAGACGTGAACTGAAGGAGATCCCTATAACACGACTTCGTTCAAGTAAAATTCTCTCCCCTTTTAATACGTTAACTAACTAGCTAGAAGTACCTAACATAAAATTCTCGTGTTTTACTGTTTTGTATGATAGTTGCTGCCTTGCTGAACTTTCATTTGGTTAAAGTTTGGGTTCTAAAAAAGTTACATAGACTACATACAAAACTAATGCTTTAAAAAAATTAGAAAACTAACCTGTTTTGGATGGTCATGTCAAGGTCGTGCCATAGTCAAGATGTGGGTTGATATAGGAATAGGAGGTCTTGACCCACATCTTGACACACATCGACCCTATCTTGGTTCTTTCAAGTCTAAAACAGGTTAATTTTCTAACTTTTTTTCAAATGAAAAGGGTTAGTTTTCCGACGGGCACAGGCAAGCAGGCTATTTTGTGAAGAAACCCTTAAATTTATTTTGGGGCCAATCTTGTTGTTTGTCAAGTATATCATTTGGTACACAGTGTCTTTATGCATTTCTGCAACTTTGAGTGTATGCATCAGGAACTTGCAGTTCGTTCTTCTTATTTGTTAGTTTTTTAATTTAAAAAAAAATCTCTGGTTATGCCTAGATGAAAAGAAAATGCTTATACTGATGCTCTGCCCTAAAATGCCTGCTTATTCATGAGCTTACTGACTTGTGCAAGATGACCTTTCATACCACAAATACACTGGGATTTAGACTTTGACATTCATGTATATAATTTTGGCTGATCTTGTCTTTTCTGGGTGATTGTCAACGTTGGACCCTTGTGGGTTTATCAGACCTTTGATCCTAAGATAGTTATTTAGTATTATGGGTTATGCTTCAATTGGTAAAAACTTTATATGTAGAATTAAGAATTGGGCAAAGTGATTGGATGATATTGGATGACTGCCTCTTTTCCTATCTGCTGACATCGTTGTATCTATAAAATTAATTTGGAACTATCCCCGTGCAGATGTTTGACTGACGAGAAACTCGACAGGCAAGAACACACATTCTTGTGGGGTTTAGTGGGTATTTTTTTCGTTGCCTTGGAGGAGCTTCTGGGTTAAGCTCATGAATACCCAATTCAATCTGTGATGAGATCAACCACCTTATTCTGTGGATTCTTTTGTCTATGCTGGTGGCAGTTACCTGAGAACAAGTGTAAAGTTTGACACAGTGCTTTAAATGATGGGAGGTTTGAGCACACGAGACTAGGTATGCATTGTGTTAGGAGAATCTTAATGTACAAGTTTAGGTGGTTTTAAGTAGAGCAATGCTTACTGTGCTTCTGATATCATTGTCCCCCATTTTTTTTTCTTTTTCTAAATTTGTTTTTATAAATACACCATGTCAATTCAGTTTTCATTATTCCTATTTTTTTTATTATAAGCTGAATGGTTTCAAGTAGTGTTATGAATTGGTAATTAATTTGTGTGGTAAGATTCTGTTGTCGGATCAGCAAACTGAAATTTTCATACAGAAATGCTTTTTAATATTGCTGAATCTTGAGTTTAATTGAACAAGAATCATCTCAATTGACAGGGACGTGTAGGGCTGAAATACGTGTCTTGTAAATTATAATTGTCTAGTTTATTTCCTGGTTGTTGTTTGTATAACTCCTTGTGATAACTCTCTCTCTCTCTCTCTCTCTCTCTCTCTCCATACCGCTGAATTGTCATAGTTTCTCTAGTTCACATCAGGAAATTGTTATACAGGAAGAAAGTTTTATCTGAGAATTATGTATATTACAAGTAAAGAATAAATCTGAAATGGGAAACCTTCCCAAGTTGGACACGCAATGGGTTAATTTGGTGAATGATTTCGACAAACTGGTCTATTGAAAGATAGATATCTTTGTATCGAGAAATCAAATGATCCAATGTAAAATTGCTTTCTCATAGCAGTCCATCGACTTATGATGGACTTTGTACTTGCATGCTAAAATGGAATGTTAAAGTGCATGAATTCACCATTTTTGTGGTAGTTTAAGACAAAATTTTCCTGTCATTCTTGCTAATAGTGCTCGAGGGTTGGCTAGAATATTGGAAAAATTAAGTCCTGCCAATTCTTCATTTTAGAGGAGATATTTTGGGGGTCAGTTGAAGTGGCCTTTGGACGGCTTCAAAGCATTGAAAAGAAATTGGATTTCAGTCGGTGGTTCCACCAATCTATTGCAGTAGTAGACATAAGCTTTGCTTCCTGTTCCTGATGCATGTGCTCATATGCAGTCTTTGTAGGGGCCATATTTTCCAGTCAACTCATGCACTGCATTTTTCAACCCCAAGCTCAATATCAGTAAGGACCATGATCTTTTCATAAAGCTGACTCTCTGTGAACCCCCATTGTTGTTGCCTCGGCATAAAAGTCTTCTAGTGTACCCTTGCATAACATTTGCTAGTATGGTTATTAGTGCATCATATATTCTCTGTTCACCGCCCTGGAAATCGAATACTGGCTTTTACTGTTACAATTCACATGGGTGGGGTAAGAGTTTATACTTTATAATATGAGTGGATTACTGTTACAATTCACATGGGTGGGGTAAGAGTTTATACTTTATAATATGAGTGGATTGCTAACGCTGCGTGTTACGGTCACCTTAAAATTACTCGAAATGAAGCCCAAACTAAACTAGTATTTACCAAACATGGAAATGTAGAGCCTCAATCCCTCAAAACGAACACATCCTTATTATTTTTGTTTCAGAATAAATTTGTGAATAAATTTGGTCAATTGAATAATGATGTGGCTTTGCTTCCTCTTTTCATTCATTCGTGTTCCTCTCTCTTTCTTTTGTTGATTAGTATATATATGTTACATAACAGGGATCTCTTTTCCCAAATACCATCTTTCCCAACCATTGTGTACATAGATCCAGAACTAGGATCTTGAACTCTCATCAAGATCAGATACTGTGACTGGACCTACGTATCCTTTTTAAATCTGATTTTACTTCGCAAATTCCTGCATCCCATTTTTATATACTTAAGCAGTTTAGCGCTCATAATATCTTATTGTTAAGATTGAAGAACTTGGACAAAAAACTTCAAAATTTCTTAATTCAAAGCGAAATGATTCTTTGCCTTGGATTCCCTACAAAAAGGGAAAAATAGAAAGAAAAGAGAAACCGCTGGCCTCACTAGAGCTTTTCCTAGACTGCTGAGGCAATGCAGAGTTACTCATATCCCTATATACTTCTCCTTCCATTGTCCAACTGAAGCCCTTTAGGAAGTCATGGTTGAGCCTTCCAAGCTGATGAAATGTCAGCTACAGCTTCGCCAACTGTAAGATAGACTCCATTCAATCCGAACGACTCCAAAGTTTTTGATTGTTGTAGCTTTTCCATCACAGTTCCCACAGGATTTGCCAACACAAGCTAGGAGAGTAGTAACAAGCACCCATAAGAACAAGATATGAAAAATGGCTACCACTAACTCACTGGAATTTCAGAACTTAAGGTAAAACTTGGATAGTTCTTACCTGAAGTGATCTTTTATCCAGCATCTTTCTGAGTTCAAACATCATGTCAGTACCGCTAGTGTCTATGGCTGTCACAGCTGAGAAGATGTAAAACTGTGAGCAAGACACGCAAAGACACATTTGCAACCACGTTGTTACATAACTGAGACAAGACTAAGCAAAAAATTTCATAAACAACGTACCTGTCATGTCCAAAATTATACATTTTAAAGTGCTCTCATTGCTTGCTTTGATCCTCTCTTCTTCCTCCCGAACCCATCTTAATATCCTGTACGTAGCAAAATTCATAAATCAGATAACCCTGGCAAGAAGATGCTGCTCATATCTGTACTATTTCCTTCAAAACTCTCGGCCAGACAGAGTAGGGTTTAGATAGAATAGTGAGTGCAAACATGTGAACTGACCTTTCTTGTAGGTAAGTTGTATTTGCAAAGTAGATGGGTGCCTCAACCGCTAGTATGAGAAAAGAAGGGATCCTTAAAGCTTCTCTGTATCTATTGAGATTCTGGAATGTTTGTGTTCTTGGAATATTTCCTAGAACCGTAGTGTTTGGCCTGGTGACATGAAGCAATATCTTGAAAATTGATACCCCAACCTGAATTGTACACCCAAGATTTTAGAGACTGAAAGTAGGGAAACATCGTATACGAAAAGGAAAACCTGATATAGACAATAATCTAGGATGATATGATGATAAAAACCTAGGGTTTTTGGTTGCCTGAACACTTGAAACACAAATGCAAGAAAGCTTGAAATTAGGAAATCTATCTTACCGCAATTGCAAGACCAAGTGGGACGGAAATGAAGAGAACGCCGAAGAAGGAGCACATGCAGGCCAAGAAGTCGAGTTTGTCAACTTTCCACAACCGGTATGCAGCTTGGTAGTCAATCAGTCCGCTCACAGCGGTGATGATGATGGCTGCCAAGATAACATTGGGGGTGTAGAAGAACAGTGGCATCAGAAACAGCAGAGTCACAAGCACAGCTGCTGCCATGATAATGTTCGAAACTACTGTTTTTGCTCCAGCATTGTAGTTTACTGCAGATCTAGAGAATGAACCTGAAAGTAAAGAAAACATGGTTTTAGTTGTTGCTTTGCATTGCATTGCTTTAAGTTCAAATAAGATTAGGAGGATCTTCACCTGTGGTAACATAGCATGAAGAGCAAGAACCACAGATGTTCATGAGCCCAATAGCCATCATTTCTTTGTTTCCATCAACTTGGTAGTTTTTAAGAGCTGCAAATGTTCTTCCTACAGCAACCCCTTCCTGAAAATGTAAGAAAGATGTGCTTGATTAATAACCCAGATTTGCAAAAGTCTTGAAGTTTTGAAAGCTCCAAAAATTTGGGTGACTTACTGTGAGAGACAAGATCCCAGTTATGATGCCAGTTTTGATAGCAAGAGCGAGGAAAGGGCCATTGAAATATAGCATGTTCGATGAAGGTGGGTTAAGACCCTTTGGCAAATGGCCAATCTGTTGCATATAGACATTCAATTTAGAGAGAAGAAAATAGGTTTAGAATATCACTAAAATCACCAAACTTAGAGAGATGAGTTCTTACAACTGAGATATGAGGATTTTTTGAACTGAGGAAGAAGACTAGAACTGTGGAAATGATAACTGATGTTAATGGAGCAGCTGCTGCAACCCAAAAGAGTTTTGGTTTTGTTTTGCTCTGTAGCCAAATAAAAATAATTAGAAAAATTATAATTTAATGAGGATGACAAATTCTTGTAAGTGATATAGTTCTTACAATATGTCTTGTTGTGAATAGAAACACCAGGAAGATGACGCCCATTACAATGGTTTGCCATGACCACTGCACACATCAAACCAATAATTTTATTAATAACAATTTTTTTTTTTACAAGGACTCGTTTGAAAGTGCTTTCATATAAAGCGATTTACTCAATGATACTTTTATTAAGTACATCAAAATTTCACTAAAAATTCAATTGCTTTTCTCATATTCACCTGCAAGTGCTTCATTGAGAAACACCTAAAGGAAAACACTTCTGTCTATTTCATCTATGCATTAATAATTTTCAGATTGTTTTTTTGGGATGCATCTCTTCAAATGTACAAAATTGACCTCAAATTCTCCAACTGATGCATTTGGAGACATAAAGTAAGCAGGTGACAGATTCTCCAATTATTAAAATAGAAAAAGGTAGGCACCTACTTGGTTGTAATAAAGCGCCATCTACGTATACCTACCTTATTCTATATGATATGATATATATTTGGAAACTTTTGATAGCAATGAGAAAGTATGTCTCCTTTCGTTAGAAAAACTCAAAGTAATCTTTTTTTCCTCAAAGCATTAATAACAGTACCAACAAATAGGACCTTCATTGATTTTTATTCCATGATGTTGTTGTTGTTGTTGTTGCCCATATGGGCTTGGTGTTAATTATAATAAAATATAAAAGAGAAAGGAACAAGTTGATTGCTTTTGCTAAAGCAAGTTACCTCTCCTCTGTGGTTGATAATGGAGGACATTACAGAAAAGAATTGCATTTTGGTGGTGAAGTGGACAATTCCAAGCAACCCTTTCAGCTGTTGCAAGATCACAATGACTGAAGCACCGGCCATGAACCCAATCAGAGTTGCCTTTGAGAGAAAATCGATTATAAACCCTAACCTGTAAGATCATCCATAAAAAAATGTTAGCATCCCCGGTGCAATGCGTCCGGCTCTAGTACAACAGTAGTGGGGTCCACTGTTATGTGACAGCTTCCACATATTCTGTATTAGAGCCGGGTGGATTTTTAGACTTATTTTGTTCAATAAAAGGTTTTTTTTTAATTCTATTAAAAAAAAAAACAGTGAAGGGCTGGTAGTAAAAGCTGTTGGGTAAGTTGTGAGTAACATTTTCTCAAA